GCAGAGCACTTTTAGGTTAGGTACTTTTGAAAGTGCAATACATCTCTTGGAATTCACACTCCTTTCTGGATATACAATTCTAGATACTGTTGTTGCTCCTTATGCTGAAGAACTTCACCATTGTACAGTCATATAATGTCAAATAACCCTTCTTAATCATGGTTTGACATCTGCTAGACAGAGGAAAAGGGGCTGCATGGCTTACAGCTTCACTCTGTTTCTGGAGCTATCTTGTTCCAGCTTGCTCTCCTTGAATGCCAGCACTAGCTCAGTGAATCAGGAGGGGCTCTATCCTGGCTATTGGCTCCCAGGTAAGTTTTTTAACTCCTGTTATCCAAGGGGTGGGCCAAGGTGCCTATTTTATGCAAGGGGTGAAATAACTGGTAAATCTTAAATGTTATTTTAATAAGACATACCAAATAAGAGTTTAAAATTACTCTAGAGTAAGATGTCTGGCTATTAAAAATAGAAGCTTTATTTTTTGCTTCTCTAATGATGAAGAGTAGACATTAGACACATTTTAAAAATCTCTGCATGTTTGTTCCATGTTGCTTTGTTGTGATGATCTGCTAGGACTACAAAAACAACCTGTAGTGGTGAGGGTTTAGTAACAGTGGAAAAGCAAAACCATCAAAAATTATAATCACAAATTCTAGAAAATCTTAAATGCTAAAGAGCATAATTGTTGCATTCATGTGGTTTGCTTACTGAAGAATCCCCAGAAAAATTCATTTAAGCACACCTGTATGTTTTAGTGATCTCAGTAGGATGTAAGAACAAACTGTGGGTGTTTACATGATCAGGTAGATCATGAGCTGTATATGAGTGTTTTGCTGGATAGATGACTTATAATAGTGATGGAGACCCCAGCAAAGCAGCTCACCTCAAGAATTTGTAGGAAAGGAAACCTTGTTCAAGTCCTCACTGATTTCCTTTCTTTTTGTTCATTGGATTTTTTTCTTTGTTTAAGTCAGTATGAATAAATTGTTTCAGTAACTGAAGTAAAAAATGTGCTGTCCCAAGACTTCTATAAACGAAAAAGGATGTTCTGTTTGTTCAGTGTCTGTTCAGACAAATTCTGATGGTCTGCTGTAAAGAAAAAGACGTGGTTGGTCTTTTGTTTTGTTGTTTCATTTTCTACTAGAGACAGTTGTTTAAAGAGGACAGAGACCAACAAGGTAAGCATCAGCTTGGGCCAAAATCTAATGTACACCTCCTTTGTAGCAATAGATTATTGTATGATATTTTACATTCCATTGATTTGCATATTTGTGCACTTAATTAATTCCAAAATTTCAGGCTATCCTTACATGAATTTGTGTTGAAACTGGTGAAAATTTTCACTACCTCGGAATTTAAGTAATACCATGAATATAAAATCAATGCTTTTTAAAGTTACTTTCTATTTTGGAACCAAACAAACAAGATGAAAAAGTATGTGTTTAGGGGCCAAAAGATAAATTATTTAACAATTTTTAACTTTTATAATACTATTTGCTTTAAAATACGCATTACTTAATCATGGAAATTGAACAAAGCATGATGTTGAACAACTGGATAGTGTACATTTTAAGTGAAACTTTAAAAAATTTCACCATAAGCTTCAAGTCAGAGAAACATTCGAGTTGAGGAACAAAATTCTGTCAGATGAGCCAAAATGTGAAACAACTGTTTTGAATTTGCTTTTCAGAAGTGGCAGCTCAAGCACTACCATGGTAATATGACTTCAGTTTTGCAGCTGATCTATTACATGCTTTTTTTAAGCAATTAGTGCTCAATAATACAACAATTTGTCACCCAATTAATTTTGAAGGACTGGAAATGCATGGATGAACTGTTTAACCTGTGGTTCACTTGGCACCGTTGTAATTTAGATCAAATAAAACATAGTATTGGGTAAGCTGCATTATGGGAATTCAACATCTTCATGTTCTGTGACTTGTCCTTAAATCTGTTTTTATATTTCTGTTTTAACTATAGGTGAATGTATAGATAAATAAATATTACATGCCTTTGTTTTGTGTAGAATGTTAAAATTCATTACAATTAGAACCAGTAGTTGAAAAAACATTTGTGAAAGTGTTTCTCCAGAGACCATTCTGTGCCCCAGCAACAACAGAAAGCATATCAGGAGCATTAATATGTGTGAACTTTTGAATTGTATTTCCTTTGCAACTTGAAAAACTTAAGCACTGGAGCTAAAATTCTTATAAGGTTAAGAGAAATCTATGGGCATGTCAAGTATAAACCAGGTACTCTGTGTTTTTTTATTCTTCTAATCTTGAAGTCATATATGTATATGTCCTGTTACTTCAGTGCATCAGAATGCTCCTTCATTGTAAGGGTCTGCTCCTCCTGGGGAGTCACAGTGTAAGGGAAATTTCAATATAGGCAGCGTACTGAGACCTAATTTCCAGAATTTCTGCACTTGTATGCATAGCAAATGCTGACTCAGATTCTGGTAATTTTGAAAAGAGGTGTATGAAATGTGGAATAATACAATAGAATCTGGGATAGTCATAGACCTTAAAGATCACCCAGTTCCAACCCGTCTGCCATTGGTAGGGAACACCTTTCACTAGACCAGGTTGTTTAGACAGCTTTTCATTCACAGATCTAGATTTACACATGATTTTGGTTTATAGTGAGAAATGTCCATGCTCCATTGTGTCAGTTATTCCTATGATTTCCCAGTGACAATTCCTGAGCTGAAATATATTTATATGTTTTGCTATGTTTGTGAAGCAGCACAAATTTGGAGGCCCTAAATACATGATTATCAGAGTTATAATAGTTTCTCTTTTGCCTGCCTGATTGCTGTCAATTAATTTAATGGTTGGCTTTGGTATTTTATTCTTTGATCTCTATTGCTGTTGTTACCTCCAAGTGATTTCAGCAGATTTCTACTGGCTCCCTGTTCATTATCTGGTCACACAAGCTTCTGCATGCATTGTTTATTAGGATAGGGAAAGGAGCCTTCATTTCAACTACTGCAACTGGTTTTTGTAGAAAATGCACTAGAGAAGAAAGATGGATAAGAGGAGGTAGATTGGCAAAACCCAAAATACTGGCACTTTGCTGTAACAAAACAAAATTTGTGTTAGCTTGTGAAAGATTACAGTTGCATAACGATTAACAGAATCTTGAAGGATGTAATTAGGCCACTTTACACCTTCAAAATTAACCCTCTCTATGAGATTTTTGATACTGGTTTTGCTCACTTTATAGTGCATATGTGCAAGTGGTATGCAAAATAATACAAGTTTTCCATGTTTTGCTATTGTGGAAATTCTCTCAGGTTTAACCTGGTATCTGAATTTTCTATGTCTGTTTTTCTTGATTGATATGGTCATTATATCATAAGTACAAACTTTATTTAAGATCTTTATCATCTTACTGCTCTTTAAAGTAATTTGTCAGCTTTCTATCCTAATTCTAAAATTATTGATGCCTTTTTTGCATTGCATTGCATTGCAATCACTTACTCAAAATTATGATATTACCCGAGAGCATGATATTCTTCAGGCTATGAACATCCATTTCTGATCTGTGTACTTGTAAAGTTTTTCATTGGTTTACATGATTTACATTTTTGTGAACCATAAGAGGCAGATTTATCTCTGGTTTTTTTTTTTTTTTCTGTTTATTTTGTCATCATACATGTTTGTAGTGTATTATGTTGTCAGCCTGCAGTTCTGATTTATGAACCAGAAAATACTAAGTCTAAGCAGTTTTTTCCACTTGTTGAAGAAAAGGTGGTAGGTAAGTTTGAGAATCTCAACTACAATATTTATTATACAGTCTTGCCTTTCGCAATGAGAATTATTGTAGTAACAGGAACCTGACTTGGTATTTTAAAAGCTAGTGATTGAGAAAATACTTATATTATGTCTGGGATTTCTATGTCTTAAATATTCTGCCTTGACCTATAAAATGTCAAATTAGACATTCTTTATTTGTTGATGTTCAGTTGCATGTATTCATTTTACAGTACATTAAGGGAGAAAGGAAAAGGTCAGAAATCTGACAAATTTAGAAAGTCTTCTCAATTCAGAGCAAGTAGCCCATGTGAGTTCACATCAACTGTCTCAATATAATATAAACTAATGCATCAATAAAAACCTCACTGTGATAAAGCTCACCCTGCACTGAAGCAGAAGACAAATGCTGAAGAAAACTCTTCTAGCAGGAAATTTTCAGCAGAGAATATGTAAAAGTCAGTAAAGGAAAGCAATTTTAAACTTCCCCTTATTCACAGAAGTAATTCTGAGGGTCCTCTGAGACGTTACCTGTGACTGAATTGTGCCAAAATATAAGCCACATTTACTATGAAATGAATGTTAGTCTGAAGGATATTAACCTCAAGAAGTACCTTTGAATTCTTTTATATGAGAAAGAGGTAATGAGAAGGAAAGGATTGCAGATATCAGCTTAATCCATCTTTGAATACTTCCAAACCTGGTTTAGATGTGTATTTTTTTTTTTCTCTCACATATTCACTTTAGCTAGCACTGCTCAGTTGTGATCAAGGCTTCCTGGATCAGTTTAGGATAAAGATACCTGGGGCAGGGTTCCATCCTCTGCCACTGTGTAGCTACAGGAAACAGGAACAGCAAGGTGGCTTGGTGGCACAATGTTTCCCCATAAATAAATTATTTTCTTGTGACCAGCTGTGCTAATTTTAGACCTTTGTTGAGCTGTGTGTGTTTTTATGGCAGAAGCAGCACAGAATTCATCAGTGGGGAGAGTGATGATGATGCAGAAACAAGTGATGGAAGCAGAAATAACAAAACAATAAAACCCTAGCTGTTCAAATAGTAATGATGAAGAAAATTAATGTGGAGATACTGGTATTTCAATGATGATTTTGATTCTCCAACAATCTTCAACATACACTGTTGAAGTACACTGTTTAATCATAATTATTACTAGAAATTTCAGTATTCTTTAGTAAAATTAATAACAGATCCTAGATTTTTTGTAGTCTCTGCAGTATTTTCAAACTTATAACTGTAAAAATTACCAGGTTTTCTAATTTGATGACACATGGAAACTTGATGTATGCAGAAGTAATTGATAAAGTGTTTTCCTGCTGGAGCAACAAGTTAAATGGAAACTGTGACACAGATCATAAGTTGAGCAAAACTATTTTAGGAGTATTGGACTTCATATATTCCTTTGTATTACTTGAACAAGGGAAAAACAGCATGACTATATAAACTCTGTAATCTGCAAAACAATTTTGTAGTTTTGAGTGGCAGAAATGTCTTAAAAACACTGCTTGCTGAAAATTCTTGTGATTTTTGTAGCCTTGACATTAATGATACAGCTCTTAAAGAGTATTTTAGCTGAAAAGCCTTGCCTGACATCTTTATAAAAATACATAGCTTCAATGAGAGTCTCTTGTCTAGATTTGGAGAAAAACCAAACAGCGCTGTTGAATAAGTGCCAATACTAAAATTGATCAGAAAATCTACATAACTGATAAGATTATGACTTGTACCAATTTAATATTAATTTATTGTTAACATTTATGAAACTTATAGACTGAAATGGTATGAACTACAGTAGTAGCTGCCACTGTGGTATGAAATATTCATAAACAACTGGGAAGGTTTGAATTTACACTCCTGAGGAGCTTGATCTGCATAAGAGATTATAATACAGATTCTTTGAGCAAATTTACCACAGATATTTAATTGTTTCACTGGACACAGCTAGGCTTTAGAAAGGACAAAAGGATTGTTTTCTAGACATGGATAAGCAATAAGTAACCAGCTGCTTTCCAGAGAGAAGTGGAATTAAATTGAAAGGAGTAAAAATTATCAACCTCTTTGCAGTTGTGATTCCTGAATTACTGATATCAGTTTAGTGTCCACATCATTCATCTCCTATTGTTTGGTTTTGAATTTGCATTTTTTCCTAACAGAAAACAATTTTCTGAAAAACTAAGTGAATTCATATGAATTATTTTACTAATGACAGGAAAAAAATGTGGGATGGGAGTCATTCTTCTTACTTTATAAATATGCTTATTTTTCTGGTCTGGCATTAAAACTTGAAAATTATTCAGATATGCTTTTAAGAGTCAAATTCCCCTTTAGTAGAGTATCTCAATAATAGATCATATATATAAACTCAAGATGGTTTACATTTTATACTAATATCTTTTCCATTTTTAATGCAGACATCTATGTGGGATGCCTACCATATGTATTACCTCAAATCAGTTGGTGTCCACATGGTGAGGACTAAGTGAACCATGTTACAATGCAAAAAGAAATAGATAAGTTAAAATATTTTTAGAAGTTTGGATATATATTGGCTGGGATCCCTGTAAAAAGGTATGCATCTAACTTGACAGATAGTGCTACTCTCTGGTTTTAAGGTGGTGGAAAAGTACTTTGAGCCATGCTACTGCAGGTAAGGCTTGTACCCAATTTCTACTTTATTTACAGGGCTTTTTAAAAAGATATTAATAAGTTTACTGTACAAAACCTACAGTTATATGGGGGTGGAGAATTGGACTGAGTGTAACCACATTCAGTAAAGTTAAGTAATGAAAACCAAACGCAGCTAACGTGCTGTTCTGGGGTAGGCAGAAGAAAAGATACTATAAACATATTTTATTTAACACATGAGTACATTAAAATTTAGTATTGCTTTTCACTGCAGAAATTCTAGGGCCTGGTATTAGTATTTAGAGCTGTATAGTAACCATTTAATGCTATAATTTTAAGTGTGTATCTTTCTTTTACCTTAGCGTAAGAAAAATCTATGTTTATCAATTATGTGTCTAAATGATATTTAATGAAGTTTATAAGTCTTGGAGAAATAATAGGTTAATATTCTTATGCTTAGATAGGTGCCCATAAAAAGAATTTCCATGGGTTTCTTCCTGCCTTTAGCCAAAGCAATATCTCTGTGTTGTGTTATTTTCCTTTCAGTAATTCCTGATGCAGGAATAATAGGATAAACATGACAGAGAGTGCTGATCAAAAACTTGTGCCTCTTAACAGGGCTTAGCTTTGCAGGGTCTGTTTCTTTGTTTAACCCCAGCATCATAAAGAGCATGAAATCACAGGTTTGGAGATTAATTACTTGAAGAGATCTTCCTGTGTTGCAGAAATGCCTTTGCAGGTCTCCAGTACTTTATCTTGGTCCAAGTTACAATATCTCGGTATCCCAGTGGCATCTCAGGTCATTCCTGGAGTCCCTGTCATTACCAGTGCGTTCTTGTTCTTCTGTAGAGAATTAATGCAAAATGAAAATTAAGGATGATTGTTTAGTGTCAAATGGTTTTTGAAAGGATTTTGCATCTTTTGAGCTCAGTTAGTTAGCTGGCTGGCTGGTTGTTTAAAATCTGCATTTTTAAACTGACTGTTGACCAAAAAACATTTTAAAATAGCAGATCAATCTGTAATGCATTTACTTGAACAAGAATTTCTTAAATTTCTCAGGAGTTATCCTTCATCTACCTGGATCCCCTGCTGTATTTTAGGAAGAGTTTATTCACTCACTAAGACAGTGGTTTTTTTCAACATTTTAAAAACCAGTAACCAGAATGCAGTTCTGCTTACTGCAGCTGAAGTCTGTTGCAGCATTTCCTACAGCCTGTCTCTAGCAAGCAGTGGTTATGTTAATATCTGATGACATTTAGGGCTAATTTACACCAATACACAAGCCAGATTCCATGTCTAACATTTTAGATTCTGGAAAAGGAAATTCTGGGCTCTTTAACATTCTAGAAAAGCAATGTGTTGTTCGTTCTTGCAGTTCTTCAGATCCCTAAAGCCTCTGTAACAGAATTTTCTCTGAAGGAGGAAGCCAGTGGAGCATCTGTAAACTTTTCTGTGTGGCATGACTAGTCCCAGGCTGGTGTTCTGTCGTTGGTGTTCTCTCTGTAGCTGCAGAGGAATGCAAGTAGGCTTGCTACCTGCCCTGGGGAGAACAGAGCAGTTGGAAACCAGAGCATGACCCATTGTACTCTCCTGAATCCCCTCCCAGACAGTTCCTTTAAACCCTTTAAGATTACAAAGAGAGAAGTTATACTTGATTCACTGCTCAGACCAGTGCTGCACTTTATCTCCTGTGTATTTGCTTTTAAAAACTTTTTTGTGGCTAAACTGTTAAAGATAGCATTGTGGAGGCTCTCAGTTCAGCCAAAGAGAGAACAGAGGATTCCCCCAGGCTTCAGGCCTGGAAAACTTGGAGAGAAAGAATTTAAACAATTGTTATATCTCTTTCTGTTCATGTTGTTTATAGGTATGTTCTACCACAGTGTGCTATTCATGGATCACCATTGGTGTGAAAGGTTTTTACTTTGACATCAATGAAGTCTCACTTTAGCAATCCTAGTTATAAAAACACACTACTTCTTAAAAATAAGCCCTCTTTTTCACCTTCTGTAATTTAAAATAGTTTCATCCCATTGCTAACTCAACAACATTAAATGTGGCTAAGTTCTGTCTCTTGTTCTAGTGCTGAGTTACTAATGTTGTCCCAGATGACAGCAGGTCTGTTTTTTCCTGTGGTTCTCTTCTTCAAGTGCAACTATCAGAATACCATTAACAGGAGTCAAGAGCATTAGGTAAGTGTGTGCTTGCACAGAAGTTTTGAAAGGCCGAAGGAGACAAGATTTTATTACATAAATAGATTGGAATATGTGTCTGTAAAAAGTCAACTCTAATCTGATTTTTCTGTCTGGGAGATGTCTTCAATTTGAATTACCTCTCTTAATCTGGGGGAAGTGGTTTTGTCCTTAAAAATGCCCCTCAGTATTTTCATAATCTTCCATACTTGTACTGAATAGAGAAGCCCATGTAACTAATGATTGCTTTGCCTAAAGTTCAGGCACATTTCTATTACTTCCAAATAGGAATCTGTTAGTTGTAAAAATGCTAATGAAATCCATTTGGAATAGGGAAGATTAACTACTCAGTCTAACAGAGAGAAAGGATTTTTTTTTCTTACCTGTCCATCTGTTTTTTTCTGGTGGACAAACATGTCTTGGTAGACAAGCACATATCACTCTACTTTTCAGAGTGCAGTGTGCCTGTTGTCCATCTTTGTAGCTGTTCCTACCATCCTGTTTGTGTTTCTGTGCTTTGATTGCCCTGTGTTAAAAAATGTAAGTATTGGTGCTTTGTTTAAATTCTGTATTTCAATCAGGTGCACTTAACCTTCCATTTTGGAAGCTATTTTTATTTCCATTTCTGTAATATTGTAGCTAAAAAGAAACCAGAGGAAGGAAGGGTTTCAAATGCAGTGATGTGGGAAATCTGCTATTTCACCAGTACTGATGGCTATCCAGGGCAAACTAACCGACTTATCCAGGGCAAAACCTGACTTATCCACCACAGAGGAAAGAGGAGGGGAAAGGGGGAAAAATAAAACTAAACAAACAAAAACCAAAACAAACAAAAACCCAAAGCAACTAACCAAAACAAAAAATCCTAGCTAAGATCACAACTTTAATGATCCCGAAAACTTTTGAGACTTGCAAAGCCAATACCTGAAATTCAGTTATTGAGAAGTGTTTTTTTTTAAAGTGACAGAAAAGCCCATGCTTTTTGTTTCTTGAGGATTATTTATGAAATATGCTTAATTTAAACAATCATGTGTTAAAAAATCCCAGAATCCAGCTCTCCAAATTTGTTCTGAGATTGGAGAATCAAACTGCACAATCTCCTGCAGCAGCATTCCTGAAACTGCTGAATGTTCTCATTGTAAACTGATGCCCTCCTCTGGGATAAAAATACATAATTCAGTGATATGTATCAATTATAATATCATAAGGGGAAAAATATCCAGGCATTAGCTGTCTTGGCTCTACAGGGTTACTGGGGGAAGTAGGAAATAAATTTCCTTTCAGACACAGGGTAAAATTGCAACCTCCTAAAACTGGTAGAGAGTGTACACTTACTGGTGTACTATCACTTCTGTTACTCTTTCAAGTTGCAATCACAGTTACCTAACTTAAGTAATTTGTTTGATCCATCTAGATAAAAAAGGTTTTATTTTGTTACAGCTTGGAAGTCAGGGGACTCTGTTTCTTTTCATGTTTGCTTGGGGGTATTGGGAGTTGGGATTTTCCACTGCTATTGTTTCAGGATGTGGGTTGTTCTTGGGATGTTTTTCAGATGAAGCAGATCAAAATGGACAACATGACATGCCAGCATGGATCAGGAAGGGGACATCCTGAAACAAGAAGCCACAAAGTATGTAAAACAATGTGCTTCAGATTAGACTTTTCTAAATGCCCTTCATCACAGCAGTGCTGAATGTTCTGTCTGGCAGTTCATATTGAGCTGTCTTTGAAATTCGAGTGATGTACATGATCCTTAAATATGGGCCAGTTGGGTACATCAGTACTGACTGTTCATAAACCCAAAGCAAACACATCATTCATCTTCTATTAGTTTTTGTCAAGTTATAGAGAACAGCAAAAGTTATCTGTAGCATAGGAGTATAAATCCACAGTCTTCACCAAATTTCCTTTTGTAGAATTTTCTGGACAGGGCCAAGTAATCCAAATAATCAGAGCACTAATTTGTTATTTTTTTCTCTTGGCATATTCATTTTTTTTTCATTACAGATATACAGAAATTTATTATCTGTATTTTTAAGTACCAAAGATGATAGCCATAAAAGTTTTGAAAAACTTAATTTTGAACAATTTTCCAATTTTTCTATGTCAAGAGTTAATGAAATTTATTATTTAAATGATTCCATTTTATCTAAGATACAGGTAAGGTAGACATTTTTGTATACCAGGAATTGTAGGAAAAGACTGAATGCAACAAATATAATTTGTAATAATGTACTGGATTACAAATTATAGCTGTATTACTAAAAAGAAAAACTCACAGGCTGCAAAGACAAAAATACAAACCCTCAGGTCCAGAAACACCACAGATGTTCTCTGTACTTACTGTTGTATACAGTTTCAAAGAAAGAATTTGCCTAATCCCAGCCTGCTAAAATATTCGTAATCCACACAAAATGGCAATTAAAAGGCAACACAGAGCATTCATGGAGGGAACCCCCCACAATAATAATAATAATCACCAGAAGTCAAATTTGTTTTCCTACCTGCAGATAAATGCATATATAACATGACTATAGTTCAGATATGAAGAAATAAGAAGTGTTATGGCACAGGGACTTTTCTCCATTTGCCTCTCCATTGTCATGTATCTACACTTTGACCTCCTTACAGTGTAGGCAGGAGGTGCTCATCTCTTAAAATATTGTATGCAGCTCCAAACACAGTGACTATTCAAATCTACAGGTTGCAATACAAATAGTGTTTTTTTTTCCTGCTTGACAGTCATTGTTTATATGTCCACATCTATAAAAACTATATAATTATTGAGTAGTCTTTATTGCTAAATATATTTATTGCGTCACGTTCATTCCTTTGCACACTCAGGGTATTCAAGATTCATATTTTAGCATGTGCCATTTGTGGATGGAGGTGAATTCAAGAAATACCCCAGGTCTGGCTTTTTAAAGAGAGTTTTAGTTGATGTGCTGCTTACAAGCTTCAGCTAAGGGAATTACATATCTTCATCCTACTGTCTTGCTGATACCACGCATCAATGGTTTTTCCTGTGTGTTTCACATCATCAGTAAACATCTGGATTCAAAGCAAAGCCGAAGTCTTCTGGATCCCCAGCTGCGAAGATATTCTCTCTAACCCGTGCCTAGAGTGCATTCGAGCAGTAGCCTCAGGGAAGGGACAGTCACATGCAAGGAGAAAAGAGCAGATTGCTTGAGCAGCACAGCTGGAGGGGAAGACTTTGAACTCTCTCGGTGAAAGCGGTACATCTCTGAGTGCCCTAGCCTGGGCGTGTACACCTGGCAAGGATGTTTCAAAGATTTCAATTGTTGTGGCGAGTTCTGAATGAAGTCGCTGAGCTGGAGTAGTTCGGGTTTAGGTCGGATTTTCAAGCAGGTCCGTTGCAAATGAAAATTAGCAAGCGTTTCCAGGCGTGCTGTACAGCCACGCTGTAGATGAGCGAGGGAGGGACGCGCGGAGCCCCCAGGGTTTGCTGCTTTCCCCTTGCCGCCGCCGGGGCCAGGACGAATATCGAATATACGGTGGTGAGCGCGGGCTCGGAGCAGCCGCAGCCGCGGCCGGGCGTCTGCGCAGGGCTTTGCGGAGCGTCTGGGCTTGAGAGGCAGCGCCACCCAGAGGGGCCGTGAGGCGGGGAGCGGGGCCGGGCCCGGTGGGGCTCGCTGTCGGCATCCTCCTGCACGGCCGGGAGGGAGCGAGCGCTCCGCACACCCGCCGGGCCGTGCGAGGCTGCTGCCCGCGCCCCCCGAGCGCGCCGCTCGCCCTGCCGGGGCTGCGCGGCCGGGCCGGAGCGGGCGCTGTCCGAGGTGCTGAGGGAGAGCCGGGAGCGCCGCGCCGCCGGGCTCCTCCAGGTGCGGGAAAGTGCTATCTCCAGCGTGCCGCGGAAGGCTCGCTTGGCTCCTTCCCCTCGCGGGTCTCAGATTCTACAAGGAAGTCAATATTTATGTTAAACCATGTCTGTTTACTCCGGACACACGCACTTCTGGAAAGCTAGAAGGAAAGGAAAAAGCGTGTCGGGCATACACCCAGCTGGGTCGTGCATACACCCAGCCGGGTCGTGCCTCACAGTGACTGATGGCTTAGGGGTTCTTTGTGTGGTCTTTCGTTGAGTTTTTGTATTGCAGACCTGCCATTACTTCCTTTGAACGTTTGTTTACATTTATAAAGACGATTAGTTACAGTTATATTATTATTACTCACACTCTGCACTGAGCAATTGTCTTGCTCAATTGGTTGAAATCAGCTTTGAAATGATAGTCTAGATACGAGAAAAGGTCATGTTAGCTAGGGCCATTAATATCTGTAAAGCTATGTTTAAAAACTGGCCTTTGTGCTGTCGGTGTTTTTGTTACATGTCCAGTTCCTAGAGAGCAAGTGTGCTTGACAAAGCAGTTGTCTTGGCTACTTAATGCTGTCAGTCGGATGGTTTCCTTTACCAAACGGGCTTGTAAGTTTTTGCTTTTCCCTCGAGTCCTTCAGAAAGGACACAGCCCTGATGCTCATTGCACTGCCTAGCATCTCCTGCATAAGATGAAATTCTCTGGCTCCATCAGACTGTTTCCCCTCCTCTCTTCTTATTGCGGATTCCTCCCAGCCCCTTATGTGACACCTTTTTGAGAAGGGTTTGGTTTAGGCATCTGCATAGCTACCGTGACATGCTGAAATACAGCACCGAGGTCACAACCACAAAATGTTGGCTAAGCATATTCGGGGTGTGGGTTGTCATGGGGTTGTCAGGGGTATGAAAAGCTTGTTATCTTAATGTTTCTGGTTTTAGCAAAGGGATGTCTGGTATAAAATCGTAATCTAATGGCAACACTGAGGGCAAGTCACAGGCATCCAGGTGTTCCCCTTCAGCGGTACCCGTGCCTCTGCCACCCTCTGGCGGGGAGGAGCGGGGCGAGCCGCGGGAACCACGGACTGAGCCAGCGGGTCACATCAGACCTTCGACACGGCGGAGCGGGGGACAGGGGGTGTTGCTAAGCTACAATTCACACGAATCCCGCCTGGCTCACTCGAGTCTCGCACCGTGCTCAGGGGAGGGCCGGGACGGGAGTTCGGCCGCGTCGCCTCACCGGTGCGCCGATGTGTACGGTGCCTATTAGCACAGCTGGCGACCTCGGGTCAAGTCGGTGCTGTCTAGGGGAAACCTCTGGATCCATCCTCACGAGGTGCTTAACGAGGGGCTCGCACGGCAGTACCGCCTGCCTGGGGTGCCGCCCCTGCCGCGGCTGGACAGCCCCACCCGCCGCGGGAGTCAGCCCCGCCGCCCCGGGGCGAAGCAGACCCGCGGCAGCAGCCGGGGCCGGTGGGCCGCCCTTCCCCGCCCCAGCCGGCCGCCCCAGCGGTCCCCAGCCCCCGTGCGGAGTGGAGGCGGTGGCGGCAGTCCTGTGACTCATGCCTGCGTCGAAGCAGATCAACCGGCGATTCACGCTTTTAAAAAAGCAAATCCGAGCACTTCTGGGAAAAAAGGTCATCTCGCATTAAATTCCGCGGCGCGATTGATATTCCGACGTCGTTTCTGGCAGAGTTTATAAGCGGCGGGTCGCTCCCAGGCTAGAGTCGCCCTGCCAACCTGGACTACGACAATAAGAGTGTGCGCTCGCCTCCTCGGTAAGTGTCCTCTAAACAGCATCCTGGGGTTTTTTTTTTCAAGCCTTTGGGAACCTCTGGAGCATTTTTTCTCCCACAAATCGGTTTTGGTCGCTGTCGTATGGATAGAGGAATAACGTTTTTTTTGATACCGCCCTAGACATAGTGTTAACCTGTTACTTCACTTCTAGGCATTGTCTAGAAAATATCTTCTGCTTATGGCTGTTTTCTTTCTCGTCTTAAAAAATTTAATTACCTGTTTTCCATTGAAATCATTGATCCGTTGCGTTTACACGCGGGTGTAAATCCACCTAGCAGTGGAAATGAATCGGTAGCTACCGATTTGAAAAAAACCGCTAACAAAGAAAGCGTTCTTTCGTTACCGCGACCTTCATTTTCTTTACAAGGAGAAGAAAATAAATCGCAGGTAGACGTGGGGACAAAGAGACGAGCTGGGCAGTGACCCGGCAATTCTCGATCAGCGACCCTGTATTGGTTATCGGAACGCCGTGTCCGCCAGGAAAGAGCTGAACATCTGGCGAGGAGAGAGGGCTGCTCCTACTCCTTCCCTTCCCCAGACAGACATGCCTCTCCTGCCATTTGCGCCGCTAAAGCGAGCACGGGCACGGGAGATCGCTGGTTAGTGCTGGAGCACAGAGTGGCCCCAGTTTGCTGAAACATGTGTGTGCAAATTCACATGTATGTAGCGCCTGTCATTGGACCTGGGCAAAACGCACCTTTGTGGTGGCGGGGTTTTATCTGTCAGTCTTTCCTGAATGCTCAGCCTGACGTGTGTTTGGTAAAGCCCAGAAGCGGGCTGTGTTTGGGATTGTAGGTCGTTTGGGGCTGGTGATTTCGAAGTCCGCTTTGCACGTTGGTCTCCATTTGATGCGAGCCGTATAACTGCCCTGCTCAGTGGCCACCGATATAATTGCTATAGGCTTCATGCTCTGCTAAATCCGTCATTCAGGCGCGGGGGGTAGCGCCCTGGAATCTAGGGAAGGGAAGATTTTGCTCTTCAGTCTGTCGAGGCATTTTCCCGGTTCGGCCGGTCCTGCCGCCGCCTCGGGACCTGCGCGGCTGCCGCCCGCTGACGTCTGGACGGGACTCTGGTGCGGTGCTCCAGGAGACTAGACTACTAAACCCGCCTGTTCTTCCTTCCAGCAAATTCCTTGCTGCCCACCCCTCAGAGGAATATCGAGGAAATACGAGCTCCGAGGACCGGGGCTTTTCTGAAGGGATGGCTTCCTCTGCTCCCTCATCCTCCAACGCTGCTCCGGACCCCACCCCACCTAATCTGCGACCTACAAGTAGGTTTTAATATTTTCCTCGTTTTAAGTGTTTTGGAGGCTTTCTCCATTTAGGCTCAGAAAGACCAGTTTCGAAACGAAGTGATACATCTGTGAAGCCTTGTTCCGCGCCATTAAGCAAGGTGCGGAAAGTGCTCTACACAAAGAAACCATCTTCCTATTTGGAACAAGAGAGGTCGGTCCGTGGCGAGTAAAACGCTGTAGGGAAAAGCCCACCTTACTGGCCAATGTTGTCTTTATCTTACAGCCGCGTTTGAGAGATACAGACAATAAACTGACCTCCCAGATGAACAACAAAATCGGGATGTTGGAAGGGGTGAGGAGAAAACGAATCAGTTAAAGGGCGAAGTTACACCAGGGTATTAAAGCAGGTGTCTCCCAGCTACATTTTATATAAATGCTAATGCTGCAGCTTCTTTTCAGCCTACGCTGAAGCCTGTAATCAAGCGAAATTTGGATGCTAATTGCAGCTTTTCAAAGCTTTATGTTCCTAATTGCTCTGAATTCGCCTTGAGTTATTGAGGTGTGAGTGGGAAGCAGAGGCTGCTGCAGGTGGATAGAGAATCAGTTTATAAGCCTTGCCAGGCAGTTCAGACTATTGCCTACAGGAAAAAAAAAATTAAAAACCCGAACAATAAGAGGCTCGATGTTATGAAGCATCAGAGACAAAGAGCGGGCAACACTAAGAAATGACAGGTTGTGAGGGACAGCAGAGCAGGTAATAGCTTTTACCCTGAAAGAGGTCCGAGACACGGAGCATCGGAGTCATTATTGTCATTGTTCTGAAACTGGAAAAAACGGGAAAGGGGGCGAACGGCAGAACTGGGTCTTGTTTCAGGCGCGCGTGGCAGGCACTGCTGCCTTCGACTGAGGTGTCACGCAGAGAAATCGAATTAATTTGCAACACGGCTAAAACAAAGATAACCGCTGGCAGCAGCATCCTGCCCTGCCCACACGGGCTCCCCACCCCCGGGCACGGGCAGCGCCCCTGCCGAGAGGGTCTCTCCGCGCGGTCGGGAGCGCCTTGGCTCTTCCCCCTCGCCGAGAGTCAGGCCGCTGCCTCCGTGCTTGGGTCTGAAACCTTCTCCCCTCACGCCACGTCAGCCACCCCCAGCCCCCGCTCGCCCTCTGGGGTCCGTCGCCACTGGATTTGCGGCTGCCCCGTGCCGTGAGCGACGAACGGGAGAGGCTCGGTAGTGCCTGTGGCCGCGGCTGGCGCACCCTCCACCCCCGTCCTGGGCTTCGTTCCCCGCTTCCCGTGGGCTCAGTTGGGGCCGACCGGGGCGTGTCCGAGCCACGACTCGAGGGGCTGGGAATCAGCCTGTTCCCTCTGGGGGTGCGGTCCCAGTAGGGCCGTCGGGGGCCCGTCAGTCCGTCCGAGGCTCAATGATGCGAGTCCGATCATCTAGTCAAATACTATTTTTCACCCAATTAATTTCTGAACTCTTTTGTGACCCCATTTCACGCCACTTTATTTTAAGCTGCTGCTTCCCTGGAGCCCCGCCAGTAAATGATGAGATGTCGGGTCCCGGGTGCCTTTGCCTCTCCTCCGGGCAGGCCAGCATGTCACCTCGCTGTCATTCGAGCCTCAGCTGCCCCGCGCCCAGCGCCGCCGGGCTCGGTGTCAGCCGTTTCTCACGGCTATGGAGCCGCGCGGGGGACCGGGGTGGGGCGCGGCGGCCGGACAGCCCCGCCGCCCCAGGGGAACAACTCTGCTCTCTCTTCCAGCTTACGACTCATGGTGCGGTGTGGCTCACGGGTGCACCAGGAAGATCGGGCTGAAGATATGCGGTAAGTGCGGCCGTGCCACCCCGTACGACACCCCGTACGACACCCCGCACACCCACGCGTGACGGCGCGGTCGCCCCGGCGGGGGCAGCCCCGGCCGATCGCCACCCGCCGGGCCTGCCTCGGCCGCCCCCTGCCGGCCGCAGGGCGGCTCCGCGGCCCCGGCCCCGCCGCTGTGCCCCCCCTTGGGCTGGCGGCGGCCGAGGGTTTGTCCGCCGGGGGAGGGACGGCGGCGGCCCCGCTGCCCCTCCTGCCACATACGGGGGGTGCAGGCGCCGGGCACTCCGGGCGAAGAAAGCTCAGGACCCGCCGGAGAGGCCGGCGGGGAGGAAAACTGGGGGGTGGGGGGTCGGTTCGCCGCCTCTCACTGTCTGAAATTTTTCAGCCTTATCTGACTAGAAAATACGGATCTCCTGGGGAAAAAAAAAAAGATTAACGAGAGCCTTATTAAAGAGCAATTCATCAGCTTGCTGTTCTGGTAAGATAGCGCTGGCAGCCAGTCAGCGCTCAGGCACATGAAATGCAGAAGGGAAACAAATGCACAATCAGATCGCAACGTTATAGCAAGAGATTCATTTGCAGATAACAAGCTGTCTTCCTTCTCTAAATATCTCAGTAGCGCCTTCGCTTTCAGAGACTAACAGTCAAATCTTCATATTCTGATGGGGGAATCATTCCGTTTAGCCCATACCCCTTACGCATAGAAATTATTTCTTCTTTTCCCCTCTGTCTCTTTTGGGGGGATGGGAATATGTCGTGGGGGAAACTAACCTTTTTTCGATGCAAAGGAGCATTTAAACCTCTTTCCCTGCTTGGTCGAGTCGAAGTTCATTCATTAAGCGTTTTGTCACCTGGAAGTTTGAACGGAAAAAAGAATCAGGGTGCAAATGTTTAGCCCTGTGTCTGTGAGAGATTTCACTGGTAGCCGCTGGCGACATTAACGAGTAGTCGCTTAGTTCTATAAATAGCTCCTGATCTGGGTTTAATGGACCATTTCCCTACCAGTCCCCTCAGTGGCTGGAGCGATCGGCATTTTCACCATCATTTTAATTTAGCCCGGCAAGCAGAACTGATAAAGTAACGCGCATTGAGGCTTGCTCCGTGTTGCTAGACTACGGGGGTTAGAGAAGGACAGCGCCGCTTCTCTCAATGAGCTCAAATACTTGAAAATTTAATGTCCCACCATTTTGGATTTGAGAAAGACATAAGAGAGCGTAGTGAAGGCTTTGTGAGGGGAGTTCAAGACAAGCTGTATTTCTGGTTGTGGTTTGCTGCTCAGTTTTCCTTTACTGGCTCTTTTCTGTTTTACACGAAGAATATACTCTGAATAGTGAGCGATGCCGTTTTGGAATACTCAGATTTGATCAGGACCACTGTTTTTGCTTGTATGGGCTCTCCCATTTGACTGGAACACCTTCACAAAGACATACAGGGAAGGTTGCCTATGGTAAACAGAGTGAGGTGTTAAGGTTGCTAAGAATCCTAATTAAACATGCTAAACGAGTTGACTTTTGACTGTTGCAAGTGATACCTTCTTGTTCTTACCTTTCACAAGATATCATTCCAGACCCTAAATATTGTATAGTCACAAAGGCGCCTTGGAATTGTTCCTTTTGTGCATATCACACTGAAATCGATTAATTTTGAATGGGTTTGACATTTTCAATAATTTCGTAGCCCAGATGTATGTAGTTTCTTCATAAATAACTGAGCGATTTAAGGATTAGCTTTTTTTCCTTTTCTGGTTGAAAGCCACTGCCTGAAAAGAGCGCTGCCGCTACTGCTACCCCCACCCCTCCCGACCCCTTCCTCCCCCTTCACTATTCATCACTGCACATATCCACCTAAAAAAAAACAACCAAAAAAAAAACCAAAACAAAGCCAAAACTAAACCCCTATTTTAAGCAGTTTAATGAACTGTCACGGTGGCCAAAATATGGGCATATTTCCCCATGTATCTGGATTTGTATGCTATACTCCCACCGTGGCAATTGTTATTGCTGAGACTGATCCTGTTGACATTTGGCACCGGTGGAATGCTTAACGTAGAAAAATTGCTCCGGCGCGTCTCCTGTTTGGCCTCGGCCAGCTGATGATTCCAAACCCAGTGAGCAACGCGGGAGAGTGGGGCTTCCAAAGCAGCCATGCATGTTAGAAACTGAGCTCGTCTTCGGAGTCCGTGAGGTTTTTGCTGCCAAGCATAATTTACGCGGGTGGTGCTAAACACCCCGACCGCGGCGGGGTCCAGGATCTCCTGTAGCCGCCACCGACGTGCACCTCCCGATGGCTGCGGTGCGCGCCGGGACCCGGCAGGTCTGTCCCCGCCTCCCCCCAGGGCTGCGGTGCCGAGGGGGGCTCACACACCTGCCCTGTGCGAGGCCTGATGTGAAATCACGCTGAATTTGTGGTCACGTTGCGCACCGAGGTACTCCCTCGCCAATCTGGTGTCGCTCGGCTCTTGAAAACTCGGTCTCTTAAAGCACATCGATGAAAATGCACCTGCGGAACGGACCTACTGCTGAAAAAGGCTGCTCTCTCCGCTGCTCCAGGAGAAGCAGAGTGGACATTAATTCATACTTTGCTACTTGCTGGAACTCTCCTACACCGGCCTCGCTTTTTAAGCAGGATACAGACGCAAGGTCGGCTACAGTCATGCGCTTCTCCCCGGGAGCGGAAAGGGCCTTCAAGGGCCGGCTGTTACCCTCCTCTGCAGACCGCGAACGTCCCACACCCTCCCAGGGAGGGGCTCGGCAGACGAGATGGTCCGGCTGCTCCAGAGCGGGGGCTGTCCTTGCCCCACTCCCTTACGCCGAGTCTCCAGGTCCACGAGACACTGCCGTGGCCGAGGGACTTGAGCAGCGGCGCGTTACCTACAGCCGGATGGGCTGATGTCGGCCGGCAGCGCGATCTTTCCTTCAGGCTGTTTTCGTCCTCTAATCCTCGCCTCGAGCCTCCCCAGCGCAGCCCCGCGGGCCCCACGAGGCGCGGGCGGACAGGCCCGTGCGCGGCCGCTTCCAGCCCCAGCTGATCCTCGGCGCCGGGACATGGCGGGCCCGGGGAGCCTCCGCGGGGAACAACAGCCGCTGAGACGTTCGGGCACGGACTGAGCGCCCTGCCCGCAGCGTCTGGTTAGGTCAGACCCTTCAGCGAAGCCACGGCCTCGCTGGGCCCGACGAGAGTTGAACTGGAGGCAACTGCAGCCTTTGTTACTGAACAAACTCCCTCCTTCCCCAACCCTCGTCTGCACGCCGAGGGGAGCGCCACTTGTACGAGGAGCACGGCTCTCGGGGCAAGCGGAACGCGGCTGTTCCTACAGGCGTCTCTTCTCACGGAACTCGTCCCACTTGAGCATCCCTACTGAGAGCCTGAAAAAAGACGGGTGGGGGGAAAACAAAGCAAAATGAAGCCCCAGGACCTGGTAAAAGAGGATCCATAATTCAGTTTAGACTGCACCTGCTTCGATATCAGCTGCTTCTCCTAATGAGCAGGCAAATAGCTCTAGCTGTTGCAGGAGCTAATGATCGCTGCAAGAGCCATGAGAAGCAGCAAAAACATACCTAAACATTACATTAAAAAAACAAAAAATATATGTATATGGCTACTCTTAACTTACACACGAAGAGTTTCCCTTAAATAGTCTTTGTCTCATTCGTAAAAGCATCACAGAAAAAGACTAATCAGTAGAAGATCAGAATTAAAAGGCAAAACGTGAGATGTTCACTGAAAGCATGGCTCTGACAAACTTACCTGTGAGCGACCCTCCTGGAGACTTGTCTGGGTAGCCGACTGATGCAGAAGGGCCTGCCAGCCAAGTGCTCCAATTTCGATAGCTCTGTTGTGACTGCCTGGCTGGCAGCACGGTCCGAGGCACAGGTACGGCGCCGGCAGCAATTGGCCCAGCAGCTCACTGTCGCCCGCTTTTCTCCTCCGACGTTCAGCCCCTATGCCTGCCCAAGATGCAGGGGTCCCGTATGGCCCGTATGGAGGTGCCCACAGTCCCGGTCCGCCGTCACGGCTCCAGAGAGCAGGGACACATGGCTGGAAAGCGGAGGGCGTTGAAGAGAAGCGGCGTCGGGGAACTTGAATGAGGGAACTCGGGACGTTGTTTTTCCTCCCTGCTAAGCCCTCCTCTCTGGCGGATATCCCCAGCCGCGACGAGCCTTGTTTTCGATTGTTGCTTGTTTTAAAAGAAAATAAAGAATAAAGGAGACCGGCGCCACCGGAGTGCCTCTTCCAAACATATAGGCACACTCGGTGCAACCCGGAAGGTCAAAATCCAATGCTTTCCTTAATGACAAAAAGCCCGATACTATGAGTGTTTTTGTGGGCATCATAAATTTAATGTATCAAATCCATAAAATTAATTGTTCTCCCTGCCGTGTTAAAGTAGACCTCATTACGTGCCGCGGACTCTGCGTGGCTCCTGCCCCAATAATTCTTGGGGTGAGTGGGTTTATTATTGCCGTGACATGTACCAGCAGCAGTTGTGTTCGGGTTCTGGGTGCCAAAGATGCGTTTCCGGTGAGAGCGGAGCTCTTAAAACCTCCGGGGATGATTACTGTTAGCATCAAAGCATCTTTTCAGGTGGAAAATCCGCATAAGTACTTACTGATAATAGGGAGGTGGGATTATGTGGGTACTACTGGTATTCTCAGAGCTCTAACACTCTCAGGACAGATGCTCCAGAATGGCTGCTTGCTCTCATGCCTTTTGTGCGTGAGAGCACCACGAGGAGAACTGAAAATGGCCCTGATTTTAATCATACATCATTGCCCCTGTCTGCTAGGTCCATAAACTTCGCCTGCAGGCTGAAATAGCATTGACTCATCCTGAACTCTCTTCCAGTGGCTGATTACTGAAGTGGAATCTGTCTGATCGACTTAATAAGAATTTACCACTGCACTAAATGACGAAATTTTGTTTTTTGCATGGCTGCGTTTTTGCAGTTGGTGGCATTTTGAACTCTCCCTCCTGGAGGCAAATAATCCCCATAAATACCCTTATTCCTGACCTCATTAGCCAGATCTAAAGCCAACACCACTTTTAACTGTTGTCTAGAGATCTGCTTTAGATATTTCTAAACATGTTGGGAAGTGAGAAAACTCTGACCTGTGCACCTTGCAATAATAATGTAGGGTTCCTGCAAAGGACCAACAGCCTGGAAGACAAGGGCCGGATCGTCAGCTCTCTGAAGGAAAGGCAGTCCTCCAAGAGCCTGCTGGCGTGCGAGAACAGTGAGAAGGAATCCAGGTTCCGGCGCACCGAGACAGACTTTTCCAATCTGTATGCCAGAGGTAAACATTTTACAGTTTCTCCTTGCTCCTGCTCAGGCATGTCCCTTAGTAGTCTTGCCCTCATCTCCCCTGGAAGTGCAGCCATGTTCAGACCGTGCTTTTCCTTGGCTGTTTTTGAAGGAAGTTCTGTATCTGTGTTTTTTGGGAGCTGCACTGGCGATGTATGCTAGCTGCCTGAAAAGCAGTTTTACGTACTTTGGGCTGATCATCTGCAGCTCAGCTTCAGTGGTTCCAGGGTTTCTCCACATCCAGCATCTGGGAGGAGAGTAATTGTGGTTTTAAGTTCTTTAGTAAAACAGTAATGAAGCACCTGTGATTGCTGGTACAGGGCCATTGCAAGAAGAGTGGGAAAGAGAAAACAATCCCTTTGCAGGGTGGAGGTGGGGACGTTGCAAGGTAAGGACAGGTGCAGATTTCGGGTACTTTTGACCCATAGAAGGCGAGTGCCTCGTGTCACACAACCTTTGCGTTGCAGGGTGTGCTTGTAGGCCGGGGAGCCTTGGAGGTATCTCTGCTGTTGCCGTGGGCGACCTAGGCTCGCCCTTCTCCACGGGGTGAGAGGGACCGGGAGTCTGCCTGGCTTCAACCAGGCAGCGCTGGGACCACGGCTTCCAGGTCCTTGGAACACTGTGGGCAGCCGAGGCTGGTTCATCTCTGCTTCTCTCTCCCAAAGCAAGTGCTGACAGCTGGTTTGCCCCACAGATTTGTTGCCCTCCAAGAATGGTGAGGAGCAGACCATGCAGTTTCTGCTGGAGGTTGTGGACATCCTCCTCAACTACGTGAAGAAGACTTTTGACAGATCCACCAAAGTGCTGGACTTCCACCACCCACACCAGCTCCTGGAGGGCATGGAGGGTTTCAACCTGGAGCTTTCGGACAACCCTGAATCCCTGGAGCAGATTCTGGTGGATTGTCGGGACACGCTGAAATACGGAGTGAGAACAGGTAGGTTTTTGCACGCTGCTCTGTGGCCAGTCCCTCCTGGGACTTTTCTCAGGCTCACGGTGAGGAGAGCTTGACAGCTCATGGAGGTAAGCCCACACCCTCTCTACACCCGTGACTGTGCCTCCGTGCAGGCTCGGCTGCAGGGCTGGCTGCGGGCTCTGGAAATGTTTCTGCTTAGAAACGCTCTTTATTGATGACCATTGGTCCCTGCCGGGTAGGACTCAGTGCTGTTTTTAGAGCACAGAAACAAGTTTTTAAGACGTAATCTCTTTCACTTGATGAAACGCGAGCTGTCTGTATCTCCGGGGAGCAATATCATTAGGGTAAATGAGGGCATAAATGACACAGAATTTGCAATTTTTCTTTTTTATGTTCATCAAACGTTTAATGAAAAGGGGACTAAAATCCTAGGAATCATCAATAAAGGAACCCTGTGGATTTCAACCCGTTACCCAGGAGCCCTGCCCGTCCAGGTCCTTCTGAATCAGACAGCAATCCTGGGTTGTAATCACTTATTTTACTGGGTGAGCTGTAGCCAGGCTCTAGAGCAAAGTCAATGCTCTTTCAGGCTGTTTGGCAGCCTGAAATCTTGGCTGGCAACTATCCCTGACTGCCGTACGT